TGAAGATGAAATCGATATGAGATTGACCATAAAACACATTTCCGAAGGTTTACACACATCACTAATGTAACTTGTTAACGCGGTAGATTTGATTGGATTTTTAATAAAATAGAGGTCCCGCAGTAGTCGAAATTCGACTATAATTAATTGGAATTGTAAGCTTGTACACTATTATTATTGTATTTTATACTTCTATAATCACAAATTTCGCCAAGACTACACTATAAAAAATATTAACAAAGGCAAACAATAGTTAATCTATTCTTAATTTGACAACAGACGTCAAGAACAAAAGTTTGACAATAAATAGTATGCATGCGTGTGTGCGTCAAATACATGGTATGTAGTGTGTGTATATAGATTTATAGTTGTGAGATTATCTATTTATTAATACGTGAACGAAAAACTTTATATCCCTTTTTACGAAAATTGCGCGGACGGAGGAGTATGAAATTTTCCACACTTATAGAGAATATAGAGAAGAAGTGCACAATGCTAATATTTTTTTAAAATAATGCATAAAAGATACATTAAATCAATATATAAAACATTACACACACTACATACCGTGTATTTGACGCACACACACATGCATACTATTTATTGTCAAACTTTTGTTCTTGACGTCCGTGGTCAAATTGAGAATAGATTAAATATTGTTTGTCTTTATTAATATTTTTTTACAGTGTAGTCTTGGCGAAATTTGTGATTATAGAAGTATAAAATACAATCATAATAGTGTACAAACTTACAATTCCAATTAATTATAGGGAAATTTCGACTACTGCGGGACCACTAGTATATTTGTATTACAGTTAAGTATGAAATCTGTAAATAATTGGAAACTCTGGAAACTCTACTATTGCTGAAACGAAATCTATCGAAATTTCAAAACAATAAAGTTCATTTTGTTTCAATTGTTATTTGATTGGCCACTGATATTGTTTTCGATTTACTTTAAGTCGGTAGTTTTTTTTTTGCTTAGGTGGGTGGACGAGCTCACAGCCCACCTGGTGTTAAGTGGTTATTGGAGCCCATAGACATCTACGACGTAAATGCCGCCACCCACTTTCTAAGGTCTCAGTATAGTTATAACGGTTGCCTCACCCTTCAAACCGAAACGCATTACTGCTTCATGGCAGAAATAGGCGGAGTAGTGGTACCTACCCGCGCGGACTCACAAGAGGTCCTACCACCAGTAATTACGCAAATTATAATTTTGTGGGTTTGATTTTTATTACATGATGTTATTTCCTTCACCGTGGGAGTCAATCGTGAACATTTGTTATGTATGTATTTCATTAGAAATAAATGGTAGCCGCCTGCGGGATTCGAACACACCGGTGCATCGCTATATACGAATGCACCGGAAGTCTTATCCTTTAGGCCAAACGAACGGTTTCTTCACATCTTGTACTACTCTACTGTACTGTACAACTACTAAGCAAAATAAAAAGTATATGCCTATATCCATGTGTCACCTATTTTGTGTTAATTGTATTTTAATTTTGTGAAATATATCATTGTCATTTGAAAAGCATTAGTAGTCACGATATTAGGTAATGAGTATAATATTGATACTTGCATACTTTCTGGTTGCGCTCATTTCCTTCTGTCGAATTTCTACCTTCTGACCACTTCCGCGAAAAAAAGGAAGAGTTTTTCACTTCATCTTTTACATTTATTTTCGTTGATCACCTCTCGAGCTTTCAGTGTACCCAATGTGAAGGATCGTTTGATTTGCATCTAATAGCATAACAAAGAGTTTTAACGTCTAATTACCACGACAGCTTCATTCCTGCTCAACTGCCCTCTTAATTGTAACATTTAGGACTGGTAGCACGACGTCTCATGAGCCCGCGCGTGCCGATTTCTGCCGTAATGCCGAGCAGTAATGCCTTCCGGTTAGGAGAATAGATTAATTTCAGCAAAGCAGGAGCACTTATATTTTGCTTGTTTTATATGATTTCGCTCCTCCATAAAACAATAACACAGATTAACTTTGATTCCGACGAACAGATCGGCAACGGAATTTAGATCTATGATCTTTAGTAGCCGCTAGGTACCAAATAGATACGTTTGCGCATAAATATTAAAACTCATAAAAACGTCTCTTATAAAAAAAGAAAATAGAATGGTTGCGTTGCTTATATATTACTGGAAAATAATTTTGTTAAACGTTAACAGATATCAACTTGACATACAATCATAAATAAAGTGAATTCAAATTACATTTCATTTTATTCATTCCAACGCTTATCCGCTTTTATTTCTAACAACGTGAATGCTGCCAGATCATACTCAATCAACTTTGGTTCACCTATAAGCGGATAATTCGGTATAAAAACGTGTATAAATTCGATATAATTTTCCAGCGCGATGGGTGCAAATGGATCGCGAGACAGCTCTGAGGCAGAAAATTGCCTCTTCCCATGGCACGACCGATTCTCTATTACACACCTTGTTTTACATGCCTCTCGTACATCGATGCTATGAATATATTTCAACTATTTTTACACGCTTTATATTAGCTTCACTTGTATGTATGTTTGTATGTTTGTAACTGACTCCTTTAGACGCGATTTTGACCCACTTTAAACGGCCAGATTTCATTCAAACTTTTTTTCGTTCAATTTATCGAGGACCGATGACAATACACTAATTTGATAAGATTATTCCATTATTCAATTTGCAAAATAAGATTTTTGCCAATTTGTTGGCTATCAAAAACAAAACTTTAAATAATCAATCAACATCTAAAAATAGTTGAATAATTATCATATCTGACTACTTAACGACCTTCGCGGCTTCACAAGACCATTTTTTTTTATCGATATTACGATATTTATTATTTGTTATAACTCTCATGGTTGAAACAAGTGAATTGGTTTTGTTAATGTATATATCTCGTGTACGTACTGTGTGTACCATATTTGGTACTAATGTAAAGTATTGCATTCAGAAGAAAAACACAGGTGTGGTTGAGGTTCAATGAAGCGGAAACAGCATAGGCTTGTATGAGACCGACTCAATTGTGGTGCAATATAAAGCACGATCGAATCATGGCTTGATAGGGCTGTTGTATTTCCATACATTAATACCGTAATGATAATGAAACTTTAGTTTTTTTTCGAATTAAAACTTTTAATATTAAACATATAATTATGTAGGTACTTCAGGGTTTCCTCTGCATAACTTTTTTCGCAATAAAACTAGCTCGTATCACGTATTGTCTCATATATTATGTTTTGAAATTTATAATATATACTAATATTCTAATTGTAAAAATTTATATATTTAGATCTTCATTACTAAATCACGCAAAACTGAATTAAATTGTTTAGAGGAAATTGCGCACGAAGATAGTTTTATAACCTGGATTAGTGCTTAGGATACTTTTAATTATGGTAAAATAGGAACCAAGAAAAGTCGCTTGTAATATCTGTTGTGCTAAATACGACAGTGTGTTCGCTGTTTCGTTATTTCATTTTCTACCTATGCTGATTGACAAGTAGCTCTTTATCCCGGAAAAATGTGACATGTCTCATTCCTTCTGAACTATGAATTTATGGCGGGTGGTACCGCAAGTTGCAAGGCATTTTTTATTTTTTTTTATATCTTAGATGGATGGACGAGCTCACAGCCCACCTGGTGTTAAGTGGTTACTGGAGCCCTTAGACATCTACAACGTAAATGCGCCACCCACCTCGAGATATAAGTTCTAAGGTCTCAGTATAGTTACAACGGCTACCCCACCCTTCGAACCGAAACGCATTACTGCTTTACGGCGGAAATAGGCGGGGTGGTGGTACCTACCCGTGCGGACTCACAAGAGGTCCTACCACCAGTAAATCAGTTATAATATGAATTTAGCAATTTATATTATGCTAGTATAAACCTGCACATGATTTTTACAAGAAATTATTGCGATATGCCGTTTTTGTGTAGCAAACCCGTTTGTCGTTCAGGATTCTAAGAAAATACCGCATATTATTTATCTAGTACATCGATTCGTTTGTAATTAAATTGCATTGAAAGAGAAGTCGGTCATGTAGTTTCTAGAATAAAACGTCCACAATTTAAGGCAGCATCATAATATAGTTGGTAGCCCTAATTATGCTCTCATTCCCATACAGTATTGACGCATTATGGGCCAGTCATCCAGTAATTTTTAATGTGACTACGAAATTACCTGAACCCAAATGTCAGAAATATTTGTTCCAAACAGTTTACCTTCAATATGACATAACTATAATCGTTTATCAATCTAAAATGAAACCCGTTAATAGTGGAGATGAAAATGCAGGCTCTTAAATATGATGCTTAATATCTCTATGATGCATTTTTTTAAAGATATTTTAGGTAACTAAGACTTTTAAGTCATGTCTTATTTTAAATGATGTTCTTGTTTTTATGAAAAATGATAATATGGATTGAAATGAAATGAAGATGGTTAATTTAAGATATAAATCAACTGGGATGAAATGAGATGAGGTGGGATGAAATATAATCTCAGTAAAATATTGGTCTGAGATTTTTTCAGTGGACTTTTTGGAGGATCCTGAGAAGTTATGTCCAGCGGCTTTGTTTCATTTTCCCACATTTTTGCACTTTCACAGATATTAAACAGTTAATAATCCACCGTTATTACACATTTAAACCTGAAGAAACACTAAATAGACAAAATAAAACAAATCACACAACTGCACTCCTCGCGTTCCCGCCAAAAGTCCTTACGGTTCTGTTGTTTTTTTTTTACCTTTAGGCCAATACGGTTTTGTTGTGTTACACGGAACATAGTTTAACCAATCATCTTCGGAGGTCAAGGGATCTAAGTCTATTCCGCTGTTAACACAGCATACGGCACTGGCTTCTTTGGTCAACTGATTTTTCTGATATGTCTCTATTTCTTTTGAAAATATTAACTTACAGTCAAAAACTAGTTAAATTATCGATGTCTAAATATAAATAATTTTTTTATTGTGTTCTCTTAATTCCAGATTAAAATGGTGACGTTAGAAGAAGGTGGTTGCGTTAACAAGGCCTTTGAAGCTGTCGACGATGGCTTCCAAACCATCGACCTTCGGAACAACGGCCGAGACGAGAAAGGGAGTTCAAGAGGACAGGTAAAGTCTTCGTTTAGTGTCATGAAATAAAACCTTATTTTCCTTTAATTTAAATCGTCTGTATTAATTTTCAAAGTTTTAAAATCTAAAGGGATTTATTATCAAAGTTTTAAAATCTATACAAGTAGAAAACATCACAGGCATTTTTAAATGCTCATGGTTGTATCACTGCTGACCGTGATCTGTAATCCGGTGGGGTATCGGTATCACAATACCTCATAATTCTCCATCTCTTATACTAATAGGTGTCGTAAAAGGTAAGGCGACTTGAGAATGGGCAGCGATGTTCCCTGATTATCATAGCATCTTACTGCGGTCGCCAACTTGCATCTTAAGAGTGGAGTTTATGGAAAATCCGAATGGAAAATACGAAAATTCGGGCTTTTGGCTTTCTTTCAAATAAAGAGGAATTAAGATTTCTTTAATAAAGTTTGTATATTCTTTCAATTGCGTCAAAATAAATCTCAAACAAACACATTAAATATCTTGCATGAGATTTCAAGTTCCTAAGAATTTATCCTATTACATTGTGTTCATAATAAGTACCAGTCAACTTCAATTTACCAATCGAATACTTAAGAATTAATGGAAAGCGTAACACGAATACATAAGTAACCCAATGAAAATATATTTCAAGCTCTATAAAGGTATACATTTGATTCATTCAGTGACCAATTATTTTAACGAATTAAAAGCATTACTCTGACGAAATAAAATTTGGAGGGAAACTCAAATATAGAACGTTTTCTGAGAACTAGAGATGGGAAATGATTACTTTTCTACTGTTGAAAAAAAATCATATTGTTGAAGTTTTTATTATCATGATTTTTGTATTTGTATTGAAATCTGTTATTGTAACAATAGATATTTTTCCTTTTTTTCTTTGTTGTTAAGCAATTATAAATACCGCGTTGCAGTATAGGATAACTGTTGTGAGAATGTAACTTAGGATAGACCTTTAAATGTGAAGAAAGGCGATAGATAGGTACTATTCACGTGGTTGTTTCTTTCGTATCCGCAAATTGCTACAAAAATTTGATGTATTCAAATCTGAATATCAAGAGAAAGCATTTAGCAACATTTTTATAGGGAATTGTAATAAGTAATCGTTGTAAGGCACTTTGAATGGTTTTTTTTAATAAAACTTCCTTATCGTTATAGATCTCATTCCTAGTTTCAAACTGTGAAAGAACGTTCTCAATTTCCCTCCAAAAAGCCCATAAATATGGCGCGAATTTAATTTTGTTCGAAATTTGAAATTAGAGTCACGTCAAGTTAGCGGCACGTGCGCACTGCTCGCGTAGAATACGGACAGTTGAGAGAGAAAACTGTACCACGAATATATTTATTTAATTAACATAAAACATTTTTTTTCTTGTGCGAAGCTTATCAAATTTGACCGTTGAGTGTTTCCAAAAATCATTGGGTTACTGGCTCGGAACGAACTTACTTGGCGTTAAAAATCTTACGGGTATCACTACATAGTATAAAACAAAGTCGCTTTCTCTGTCCCTATGTATGCTTAAATCTTTAAAACTACGCATCGGATTTTGATACGTTTTTTTTTAATAGATAGTGCGATTGAAGAAGAAGGTTTATATGTATAATAACATCCATTACATAGTGGAGAAATCAATAATAAATTACAGTTTCCGAAGCGAAACGAGGGCGGGTCGCTAGTATTATATATTAGGCGTGGGTCTAGCAATACCGATGATTGTGACTTACAAGCAAGCGGGCGCTATATCTACGCAAGCAAATTAAAATCAAAAGTAAAAAAAAACTTTTAATTTTCTTTTTATTAGTAACTTTCGTTCTATCAATTCCATTCACGATTACATAAAATACGACGCGAAATAACGATTTTGCAATCGTCTTCTGTGATTCATACGGGGAAGCACTTTCTCCGCAAATCGACTTAGAATACAGAGAGATTGTCTCTGTGTGTTAGTCTATGTATTAGTTAGTTTAATACCTACGCTTCTATTACTTTAACCTGTGTCTATTCATGCGTCGGAATTTTTCAACATATTTTCCATTCAATAACTGTGATGGACATAATATATTTCAGCAATTATCAAAGCTAGATAACATTTATGACTGTGTCGTAATATTCTGAACAGCACAATCAAGAAAAAAAAACCGTACTTAGCTCTGCTAGTTATCAAAGCGTATTTTTTTATTATTGCTGTATTGTGTTTGGTAGTTATAGGAGTCTATGGACATCAAAATGTGAATGCCACGAATTGATTTGTATATTTTATTTATTTCGTATCGCAGCAGAAATGGAAAGGACGGCGGCACTTCGCGCTTACGCGTAATACAAATAATGCGAAAGTAAATTGCTTTTTTATCAGTGACATCCATACTAATACAAACACACACCGAATTGAGAAACTATTAATTTTGATCACTCATTAATAAACTAGAAAGGCATGGACTTCCATTCCAAATTTTTTAAATATTATTTTCCCGACAAAAATAAATTAGTCCACTTCAGTCTCCAAAATATTCACAGCATCTCTGACTTATCTACCACTTCAATCCGTTAGAAGGTGAAAGAGGATAAACTGATAAGTACTTTGGTATTCTCAATTATTTATATTTTATAATGCGCACACGCCGGAAACACTTAGGTACATTATTATATGATGTCTGAAACACCGGCAAGGTATTCTAGTTATCACTAGACTAAGAGCTCAATGACGTAAACTGTGCAAGGTCAGTGACATTCCTGTTTTGGTACGAGGCACTATGCATCATGTTGTTTCAAACGGTATAGATTATATTTAATGCAAACTTTACATGTAATGGAATATGGTTTATTATCGGAATCGGAAAATATAGAAATCAGTGAAATTGATAATATATAAAGATTACGTTTTGATTAAAGTCTTCGCTGGTAGCGTTGAGAGGCTATTTCAGATTCTTCTTGACGTGTAGGTGAGCTCATGGGGCTCAAACCGAGAGTGTTGCTAACACTGGCCCTAGCAAGAGCAGTGCTTCGCAGAATCTACCACCGGTTCGGAAACGTGACCCACTGAGAATATCCGGCGAGAAACTCAGTGGGCTGTGTCTATGGGTTAATTTACTCGTCGAGCCCTTCGTCAAGCGACGGGTTCGGCGAGGACGGTAACCGGAGGTAGCCTAAAAGGCGAGCTGGCCTCTTAGGCTACCAGCGACTAAGTAGGAAAAAAAGTCATTCGTCAGCTATGTCAGAAGGCCGTAGAATAGCAGGAGCATGTCTATATAATATGGATACCACCTTGTTTACTACGTAAGACGCTACGAAACATAATGATAAAGTTTGACTCAATCCAAATATTAATGTTATACAATTTGAAAGCAACAATGTCCACACGATTAGCTTTTCACTTCCAAACAACCGAACGATTCAATTCCTAAGGAAAAATAAAATTTTAATATTAATAAGTAATAAGCCTGCACAATGAAGAACTTGGAGTAGTTAAAGTAAATTTTTTTGTGGAGTTAACTACGCTAGTGTATATTTTCATTAAAATTATGTTTAACTGTGAACTGAATGAAAGACTACTTAATTGAAAACGCATGTACTTATAGTGTTGTAAAGAAGTGCTAGATAGAGTTATGAAGTTTCTTCATAAACAATAATTTTAGTTTAATTAGAACATATTGTAATCTCACCTGAATTCATGAAAGTCAAGCTCGTGACTGGAAACATGCTTTTTTCGGTTTTTTTTTTATACCTTAGATGAGTGGACGAGCTCACAGCCCACCTGGTTTTAAGTGGTTACTGGAGCCCATAGACATTTACAACGTAAATGCGCCACGCACCTTGAGATACAAGTTCTAAGGTCTCAGTACAGTTACAACGGCTGCCCCACCCTTCAAACCGAAACGCATTACTGCTTCACGGCTGAAATAGGCAGGCAGGTGGTACCTACCCGTGCGGACTCACAAGAGGTCCAACCACCAGTAATTACCTACGCAAATTATAATTTTTGCGGGTTTGATTTTTATTACACGATGTTATTCCTTCACCGTGGAAGTCAATCGTGAACATTTGTTAAGTATGTATTTCATCAGAAAAATTGGTACCCGCCTGCGGTATTCGAACACCGATGCATCGCTAGTTACGAATGCACCGGACGTCTTATCCTTTAGGCCACGAAGACTTCAAATATGACCACAATACAATGATTTCGTAATCAGATATGACCACAATACAATGAAAACACATCTTCACGACCCCCAAAAACCCTTGAAAAAGAAAGGTAAGTCATTAATTTAAATATGCACAAATAGCAGTCGCGGTATGCAAAGTCAATCAAACAAACAGCAGACAAGTCGGTCACTATTTGCATTAACCGTATACACACCTAGCGCAGGTGCCAGCGGAATTTTAAATTTATTTACTGAAAACAATAAACAATTTCTATGTTGGTAAAACGCTGAAATAACATTAATAGAATTGCATGATCACTTACTGCCGTGAATACTTACTTTGAGACTATATTGCAGGATACTGTTTTTTCTCTAAGTAAAGGACGAACTCATGACGTATCTTTTTTTAGATTTTAGATTTTTAAAAAGCCTTACCTAATTGCTAACAACCTCAGGGTTATTCCAACTGCGCTCTGATGGGTAGTTGGCCTCATGGGCTCAACCATCAATTTATTTAAGGTGAGTGTTAGCAATTTCTCTCAGGCGAGAGAAATTGCTAGCCCCTAGCAAGAGAGCAGTGCTTCGCTGAATCTTACTTTATATTTTTACTGGTGGTAGGACGTCTTGTGAGTCCGGATAGGTAGGTACCACCACCCTGCCTATTTCTGCCGTGAAGCAGTAATGCGTTTCGCTTTGAAGGGTTGGGCAGCAGTACTGTAAAAACTGAGACCTTAGAACTCATATCTCAAGGTGGGTGCCGGCATTTACGTTGTAGATGTCTATGGGCTCCGGTAACCACTTAACATCAGGTTGGCCGTGAGCTCTTTCACCCACTTAAGCAATAAAAAAAATCTACC